TAATAATAATAATAAATAGCAAATTTTTCAATAATAATCAATGATTTTTTTAGTTTGTAGCAAAGTCCAGAAATCCCTACCTGTAGGAATAGGTAGTGCAGGTACATTTCCCCAGGATAGAATAAAGCAGATACCAGATAGCCAGCTGTCGGCAACATCAAGTTATACAAACTATGAAGCTAAATATGGTCGCCTTGGAAACAAGAAAGTTTGGTGTGCTTCTAGTGATCAACTCAGGTATCAAGTAATGCTTAACGCTCATATTTTGGTTTTCACTAATTATTGTTAGGATAATACGTAACAGGTAAAAGTGGTTAAACTAGCAATTAAATAACTTACCTATATGTTACTTCACTTTAATATTACTTCACTAATGTTTGTCTCTGACTTAACATTTTGAAACAATTTTACAAAACTTTCGATCCGTGAACTGATATTCTTCAGTGTGCCGTTTGTATAAATTGGGCACGCGTATTCAAAATCTTCGTACAAGCACGCGCGCTAGAGTCCCGTACCAACCCGCACACATCCAGTTTACCCTTGAGAGAGAACAAGGGACTGGACTTGCTTTCTTGTATACTAAGGCCCCGTCCACACGTATCCGCAAAATTTGTTAGCGGATACGGGTTGCGTCCACACGTGTCCGGAAATTTTTGTATCCGCATCCGGAAATTTTCGAAAACGGTCTCCAGAGTGGAAATTTTCGAATACGCTCCGAATACGGATACGTGTGGACGGTCGTATCCGCAAATTTTCGAATACGATGACGTAAACACGATTTTACGCATGCTCAATAAGAAAAAGAACTATCCGTCAAAGGTACTAGATACTAGCGTGCATCAGGGCGGATCAAGAAATTTCCGGGTACGTATGGACAGCGAAAACGATTCGAAAATGATTCGAATACGCTGCGTATGGACGCGAACATTTATGTATCCGCAAAAAAAAAAAAATTTCGGATACAAAAATTTGCGGGTACGTGTGGACTGGGCCTAACACTAGACGCACTGATGATGAAGTGTATCAAAGTCCTCAAGAACAACAACTATCCTACCCTCTTCATCGACAATATTGAAACCGCCGTGCATTCCAAAAAGCGTGGTATTCCAGATACTGTCAAGGTCAGTTACAGCCAGGCGACAAACCCCCCCCCCCCCCCCCC